TTCCAGCCCCGTCACTGCAGATCGCGCGGAGGGCTGGGTCAGGACGAGCTCGACTCGGAGTGGCGGTATGTGCATCCGGACTCCAATTCCGCCGACCTTGCGCGTGCATCATGGGCCTTCGAGGCGGCGCGGCGCGCAAAGCGGGTAAAGATGCGCCGCGGGTGTATCGTGTAGCGAAGAAGACGCGGGCATGCCGCGAAGCGGGGCACGTCGATGTGCTGCTGGGCGGGAGGACGATGACCCAGCAACCGCCACCCGCAGCGCAGCGACCACTCTTCAAGCGGCGGGCGCGCACCCGACGGAGAAGGCCGTCGTGCTGCTGCGGAGGACGGTGTGCGAGGTGTACCCGAACCGCGCGATGCACCTCGAGCGGTGTTATCGGAGGCCTGAGACACGGCGAAGGCGATGGCGATAGCGCGGTGCTTGTGCGCCTGAGTTGGCGGCAGGCACTCGGTGCACGACGTGCGGAGGTGCTGGGTTCATGTGGGTGGTGGGTAGTGTTGTCCTTACCGAACGGGCGGCGGGCAGCGGGCGGACGCTGTACGAGGCAAGAGGTCGTGAGTAATGAGGGCCGTGATGCGGTGTGAAGTGTGAAGAAGAGGGAGGAACGCACCTCGGGCATAATCTCCCCGTGCACCCGCACTACATGTCCGTGCTGTCGACCACCAACTCCACGTGGCATCATGTAACCTGTAGGAGAAAAAAATGGACGTCAGCAGACCGTTTGGGAAAACGAGAGAAGAGACGATGCGAGGATGTATCAAGTATGGATGGAGAAAAGGTGGGGAGGATCGAGGGAGGGATGCAGGGATGCAGGGATGCGGGATCGAGGCGGAAGGGAAGGATGACAGTGGGATGGCTCACCCACAAAAGCACGACGGTGGGTACTCGAAGGAGAAGTCCGCCGTGCACTACGGCGCATCGGTCGTCGAGCGGTGTTGTCGAGCGCGAAGGCGACGGCGCGGTGCTGGTGCGGGAGCCGGCGCGCGCGTGCTCTAACCAATGCGGGAGCGCGCGGCAGGCGGAGTGCGCGGCGGCGACGGGCACCCAGTGCACGACGTGCGGAGACGCCGCGCATACGCGGAGCGTGTCGTCCCGGATGCGAGGGGCGGCGGGCGGCCGCTGTATGGGGTCGTTAGCCATGGTGCGGACAGGGAGGACGGGGAAGAGCGCGGAGAGGATATATTACGAGAGTGCAAGAAACTCACCTCGGGCTGAAGCTCTCCGGTCGTCCCAACTACGCCACGTTTGCGCTGTCGCATCGCGGAGCCTGCAGGGAACTAGAGCTCGTCAGCAGATCGTTTCGGAGAACGAGCGCAGAGGGAAGTAAGTGTGCATGAAAGAGCGGGGAGAAAGGGGTGGAGGGCAGAGGGATGGAGAAGGGTGAGAGAAGAGAGAGGAACGCACCTCGGGCTCAAGCTCTCCATTCACCCGCGTTACACCATGTCCCTGTCGACCACCGACTGCGAACTCCGCATCGTCGAACCTGCGGGAAACAGCGGGCGTAAGAATACTGGTTTGAGAGACGAGAGGACTAGAACGGAGAAGATGCGGAGATGGCTAGGGGAGGGAAGGGCTCACCCTGGCGAGCACGACACGGCGGTGCGTGCACGCGTGGCAGTCAACGAGCGGAGCCGGCGACGAAGACGATCCGATTGAGAGGGCTAGGCGCTGACTTGCGCAGAAGGCTGCCTGTATCTGGATCGCCATGGGCGGCGTCAGCGTCCCACAGAACGTATATAGGCCTGACAGTGCTTACAACACGCGATTGAAGCCGGCAGGCCCAGGGGAAAGATGAGGCCGTGAAGACGCGGACGCGCTGGCGAGTCGTTTCGCTCAAGTCCTGCTACTCGTTACTCGTATTCATGCGAGTCATCTGATGGTGGCTCCCGATCTCGAGGGTACCTCGGCGAACAAAAGCAGAGGCAAACGACGAGCGCAGTGATCGAAATATTGAGGGTTCGCAGCGAGCCCGACTCGAGTGTCAACGACGCCAGCCAAAATCCTTCATGGTGGTCGAGAAAGGAAGTTGTGTGGCGATGCACAGCGCATCAAATTTCGATCCGCTATCGCCGGTTTTTCCAACTCTTTCAACTTCCTCACTTCCTGCTTTCACCTGGGCTTTTTGCAACACAGGGGCACGTAGTCTGCAGCTGGGAACCACATGTGCAGTGAATAAAAAAATGACGAATCACGCCACCCCATGCCTCCGGAGGGAGTCGAACCTCGGCTCCTCGATATATTCCCATGTCGAGGCTCTCATAGATATACGAGGCGACTCTCTAGTCCACAGAGGTGTTTACAACTCTGCTGAGAGGTCGTGGGTAAGTAACACACCGTGTTCAATTCTCCTAGCGGAGCTGCTCTTGGTTACGTTGAATTCATGATCCACCAAAACCTGAGACTGAAATAAATACCTAGTTACCAAACCGCTGTTCATACATGTAGTCCGTCGGAATAGAAGCATCCTAGCTTAAGATAACATGTTGTTCACATTCGAGCTCAGACGACTCGGAAAAAAAAAGTCTAGAGGACAATCGGTACATGGCCTCTGGAGGGACTCGAACCATCGTCTCCTCGATATATCCTTATTCTCTCCTGTTAACAGGAACGAGGGAGCTTCTGTAGTCCACAGCGGCGTTCACTGCCCAGTTCTCTCAGCGGAGTTGGGCCATAGGTAAGTGGTTGAATTTCCTGGCGCAGTCTTTTGGTTGAAAACATACTGATCGCGGATATTCGTAATCCTTTGACGAATACATCGTGCTGAGGTGCTACTAAACCTTGCAACAAAGAATCAAGATCATCCAGATGACTCAAGAAAAAAGCTTACGCCAATATTTCCACCCACGCCTCCGGAGGGAGTCGAACCCTCGTCTCCCCAAATATACTCATGCTATCGGAGAACTGTACCATAGAGACAAGGCGACTTCCGTAGTCCACAGAGGCGGTAACGGCTTTGTTCTTTCGGCGTGGTTGGGTTGTTAAAATTCTGGGGTTGTCACTTGGTTGAAAACGTCAATGATCAATTTACACTCACCATCAACCCAGGGATGTATCCATTTTCGGGAGCATCTGCACCCAAGAATGAAAAAAGAAATACTGCTGAAGGAATCTACGCCTCCGGAGGGAATCGAACCCTCCTCTTCTCGATATACTCATGTTTCTTGGCACGTCACAGAAACGGGGTAACTTCCGTAGTCGACAGAGGCGTTCACGGCTCTGTTCTTTCAGCGGATTTGGGCCAGAGGTGAGTTGACATGCTAAGTTGAATTTTCTTGGTTGGGTACACTGAGATCGAACCTAACCACCTCGTTGACACCGTGGTTTCAACCCTCAACGACGGTCCTGCCTTTGTCAACTGAACCTTCAAGAATTGAGAGTCCTCAGACCCCTCAAACGAGTGGAAAAAGAAAATTGTAAGAAGGCACAATCACGCCTCAGGAGGGAGTCGAACCCTCGTCTCCTCCGTGTATTCTCGTCGGGAAGGATTTTCCATATCAAGGAGGCGACTTCCATAGTCGACAGAGGCGGTACCGGCTTCGTTCTTTCAGCGGAGTTGTGTTGTAACTTGTAGGTAAGTTGACAAGCGGGTTTGAATTTCCTTGTTGCAAACAGAGAGATTGAAAAGCCCCGCCCAATTATTCCCCATTCACGATGGTCCAGCGATACATAGCTCAATCCATCTTCAATGCTTGTCAAACCTAAAGGCTCAGATACCCCCGAGAAAAAATATTCTAACAGCAAACCTATTCCTCCCGAGGGAATCGAACCCACATCTCCTCAACATATTTCCAAGAGCGATCGCCACATAGACACGAGGTGACTTCCGTTGTCCACAGAGGCGTTTATTCTCCTGCTCTTTCAGCGGAGTTGGGTCGTCGTAAGTGGCATGGCAGGCTGAATTTTCTGTTTCGTGTGGTTGAAATCATGATGATACAACACGCCGCCCAAAACTGGACATGAAAACCTTGGTCAGCCGCTGATCAACTTATTCAGAGATGGATCCATCCTTGCAAACATCTACACGGCCCACTTAGCGTCCAGAAAAAAGACTGTCAAGCAGAACACAATCAGGGCTCCGGAGGGAATCGAACCCTCATTTCCTCAATATAGTTGCATCACCAGTTGAATCAGACACGAGGAAACTTCCATCGACAGTCTGGGCGTCTGTTTCCTTGTCTCACTTGTTGTGCTGTGTGCTGAAGTTCAGCCTGAGGCAAGTTGACTTTTAAGTTTGCGGGCCACATAGAGTGAAATAAAGACCTGTTTCACGTTCCGTCCTACGGAGATCCATCCCTGCTCACGAGCATCCTCACATTCCGGAGTCAACACAGCCCGCCAACTCAAGAAGAAGAAAAACTACCGATTCATGCATGCCCTTCAGAGGGAGTCGATCCCTCGTCTCTTCAATGCACTCTTGTTTCTCAGTATTTAATTTAGTCTTAGTCTGTACTTCACAGAAAAGACGTAACTTCGTAGTCAACAGAGGCGTCACGGCTTTGTTAGCTGAAGTTGAAGTGACATACCAGGTTGAATTTTTTAGCGGAGTGGCTTGGATGGATTCGGTTGAATTCAACACCTGAGATTAAACATACTCGCTTGGTTACCTTGGCTTGCATCTGGAACTTCACAAATCCAGTATCACTGTGAAGGCCCAATCAAGAAAAAAAAGGCCGTTGGAAACATTCTCTATGGCCTCCGGAGGGAATCGAACCCTCCTCTCCTCGATATAACCATTCATGCGTTCCCTAATAGCAACGAGGGGGCTACCGTAGTCCACGGAGGCGTTCGTTTCCCTGTTTAGTCCCATGGCTTGCAGCGGTGAATTTTCTGGAGGAGCTGGTCGAAACACAAGTTATGTAACACGTAGCCTATTATTAAGTACCTGGTTAAGCGCTCCATACCTCTTCAAGTACATCTCAACCCTCAAGCTTCAAGATTCCCGAGTCAAGAAGGTGCAGACAACCCGAGGGAAAAAAACTGGTGAGGGTGCTGACACAAACCTCCGGAGGGAATTGAACCCTCGTCTCCTCAACATAACCATTCGCGCATTCCCAAATAGCAACGAGGGGACTTCCCTAGTCCACAGAGGCGTTGAAGGCTATGTTCTTTTTGCGGAGTGGGGTCATAGGTAAATCAACAGGCGTCTTGAATTTTGCAGCAGAGTCGCTTCGTTGGAAACATAACACAGCCCAGATTGGACATGGATATGTGGTCAACCCTTGCTCATGATTCCTCAGCGATGGCATCCAAGGATTAATGTAAAGACGGCTCAGGAAAAACTGGTACTTAGGCTCAAGCATAGGCCTCCGGAGGGAGTCGAACCCTCGTCTCCTCCATATACTCGTGTCGGAAAAAATATGTGATAGAAGGGAGGCGACTTCCGTAGTCGACAGAGGCGGTAGCGGCTCTGATCTTTCAGCGGAGTTGGGTTATACTTAGGTGAGTGATGAGACGTGTTCAATTTCCTGATGAACTCGGAGCCGCTTGGTTGAAAATACAGAGGTTGAACCAAATCACCTCGTTAACACCAATCCTCTGACAGATCCCTCCAACGAGTCAGAAAAAAAGCTACAAGAAGGCACATCCACGCCTCTGGAGGGAGTCGAACCCTCGTGTCCTCATTATAGTACTGCGCATGCGAGGATGTCTGACAGCGATGAAGCAACTTCCGTAGTCGACAAAGGCGTTCACATACCAAGAATATCCTTCACGTGTCCAATTGCGTAGGGGGATTGACTGAAACACAGCCGTCCCTCGTGCACTCCAAACCCGCGGAACATGTGCACCCAGCGGAACAGTGCTGGCCCGACGTCGAGAGCCGAACACACGTCTTGATAATGACAAGGAGGAGGGATCTGCCCGCGGTGGCTGAGGAAACGGTCACTCACCCCAAAGGCAGGCCAAGTAAGCAACATTCGTCCTCCCCGCATGGCAGTAGGCAGATACTTGGGACGTGGAGGGCAGACCCCGGGGTAAAGACGAGGAAGAGCTGGGGGATAATGGTGCGTCGATCGGACTGACTGGGAAGGTGTGTAAGGCTCGAGCTCCGGGATACAAATATGTGTTGACTTTACTTACCTTGAGTGGATGCAAGTGTGCGTAGCAGCTGAGACTCAGATACGCTGCTGCCAATTGGCAAATGGGGGAGGCTCCTTTATATAAATCTAGCTCCGGTTGGTTTAAACCAAATGTGTTTTCAACTACAATTTTTCTTAAGCCGTTTAACCGGTTTAAACCGTTTGAACCTCCCTCTACGCATTTAATACCCATAGTATACATGCTTTACGCGGTGTAGTTAACGGTTTAAACTGTTCAAAATGTTTCAACAGTTACATAAACCACATTCAGCCGTTTAAGCCTATCCAATGAAATCACAGCTAAGTAATTGACCCAAGAAGGCCTTCTCGCGCGGTTGAGCCGTTTTGAGCCAGTCAAACCAATCAAACTGTTGCGTTCAGATATACACAAAGTGCTGAGTGGCAACATCAAAGCGGCGAGCAGGATGACTGTCTGGCCAACCAATTAATGCATAATCTACTGTGCATCGAAGGAATGAACTCACCTCGCCGCCTAGTTGACCAGCCAGATTTTAGCTAAATGCCACCTAATGCCACCCGCGAGGACTCAGGAATCTGCTGGCAGCCGCTTGCCGTAATGTCGAAAGATGAAAAAATGGGTTCACTTTAGGTGACTAGCAGCCATCGGGGATGATTGAGCCGGAGCAGAGACTGTGTACTGGTGAAGAGCATGAGGGCAGAGTTGGGGCAGAGGACAAGAGAAACGAAGACACGTGGCTCTTTGTCTCAACTTCGACAATTTCGGGACAAAGCCAATCAACGCATGACCATGTGTCGGACGGCTCTTGTTCCTCCCCCTCACAGCGCTCGTGCTTTCAAGCTGCATCCTGACTCCCCTAGGCCCCGACAGCTGGATTGTCGTGCAGACTCCATCTGCTCAACTCAGTCTGGTACCACGGCATCTTGCGCTGATACCTGAACTCACGGCTTCGGTGGCAGGTTGGCAAACCAAGCGTCGGTCGTCACTCGTCACATCGGTGGTATACAGTTCACAAAGGGTCTCGTAAGTGGCTTCCAAAATCCAGAATCTATTCATCCCAGGTGTTGCCAGCGCACTCAGGCTCCCTGTCTAGTGTCTTACTCGTGCTCTTCGTTCCGAAGCTGAAAAGACCATTGCCAGCGGGTCACATCCTCCCCCTGGCCACGGGGGGTCACAGTGTAATGTTTTTCTTTATTCGTTCAATCGGTTGAATTCAACGTCGCGGAGATGAGGTCGTTGAAAGAGGTCACACGGTTAAATCTGGTTAATCAGTTGAGATGTCTCAAACTGTTTAAACCGTTCAACTCCACCCTGGGGAGGCCCTAGTAGTGCAGCATTAGTATTATATATCTGCAGGATTAATCCGTTTAAACCGTTTAAACGGGTTAAGAAAAATTGCAGTTGAAATCACATTTGGTTTAAACCAACGGAAACAGGTGACAGCCTTTATATGCATGGCTCCCGGACGGCATGCTCGCGTCCGCTTTGCATGCATCTTTGCTCCGCCCGAGATACACCCTCCTCTCTCTTCTCGATCTGCCCCACCCATCGAGGATTGCACGGTAGACTCCTCGTCTCCGCGCTGGACCCATCGCCACTTACGGTTTGAACCCCTGCCAGCTACTCTTCCCCTTTTCCTTTCCCGGATCCGTTCCGTCTATTCACGATTCCGGTTCTGCGCAGCAAGGTAGCGTTGCAAGACCCAACTTTTGCCTCGAAAGTGGATCTGCAGCGAGAGCAGACAGCGTCTGGTATGGTATTTAATTGAGCATCGATGGATCTCCGAGATGCCCGCCGGGGATCCTTTTGGCTACTCGCATCCGGCCCTCGCGCTTCCTTCGTTGCTTGCGCACTGCACCCATCCCTTCCGCACTCGGTGTATCGTTGCATCCGCCATGAACCGATTCTTGCACCTGCCAGATTGCGTGTGATCAAATCCATCAATTGACGATGAATTCAACCGTGGGAATTACCGGTCAATTTCTTTTGATGGAAAAGCTCGTGCGGGCAGCAAAGCTGCTGGGTTACTGTGAGCTTGAGTTTCAGGCAAGTAACATGCGAGGTTGAATTTCTGAGAGGATTCGGTTGAAAACCTAACACAGTCAAGATCGAACATGGATATCTGGTCATCCCTCAGCGACGCATCCATCCTACATAAAAAAACAAGACGGCCCATATGTTTCAAGCAAAAATTACAATCATTGTCATGAGCACCACATCCACGCCTGTGGAGCCGTCATCTCCTCAATAAACTGCCGTCAAATCCTCGAGGCGACTTCCGTGGTCGACAGAGACGTGCATGCACAGCTCTCCTGAGGGCTCGAGTTGGGTCATAGGTAAGCAGCATACACATACATGGTTGAATTTCTTCGGTTGAAACCACAGAGATTGAATATGAGTACCCGGTTTAGCGCTGCATGATCCCTCTGGGATCCATCCATGCTCGCGAGCGCCTACATATCAAAAATCAAGACTGTCTGTACGACTCAAGCAAAAAGTCTGGACACAATCCCACCTACGCCTCTGGAGGGAATCGAACCCTCGTCTCCTCAATATACTGTTTCTTGGCATTTCGCAGAAACGAGGCGACTTCCGTAGTCGACGGAGCCGCTCACCGCTCTGTGCTTTCTGCGGAGTTGGGCCAGAGGTGAGTTAACAAGCGGCGTTGAATTTCCTGGCGGAGACACTTGGTTGGAAACACAAACACAACCGAGATTGGAGCAATGCCTTATTCATAATGCCCTAGGGATCCGCCCAGCCATCCTCACGAGCATCTAGAATCAAGACGGCCAGACGATTCAACAAAACAGCTTACGATACCATCCAGGCCTCCGGAGGGAGTCAAACCCTCGTCTCCTCGATATTCGGCTGGCTTGGTTATGTGACAGATACGGGACAACTGCCGTAGTCCCCAGAGGCGCTCACGGCTCTGTTCAAAATTCGGAATTGAGTCATGGGTGAGTGACGAGACGTGGTGAATTTTCGGAGGAGCCGCTTTGTTCAAAGTGCCCGAGACAAATAATTACCGCGCAATGCCTCGGGATCCGTCTATCTTCGAGTGCATCTAAACGTAAGAACAAAATTGCCTAGACGACTATAAAAAAAAGCACCCAATTATCATGACCTCTACGCCTCCGGAGGGAGTCAAACCCTCCCCGATATACTCCTGTTTCTTGGCACTTCATGGCAGAAACGAGAGGACTTCCGTAGTCGACAGAGGCGCTGAAGGCTCTGTTCTTTCAGTGGGTTGGGTCATAGGTTTCTATCAAGCAAGGAGACATGTTGAAACTTTCTAGTGGAGCCGCTTGGTTGAAAACGCCGGAGATCGAAGTAAATTATTTGATAATCACTGTTCAGATCCCTCAGTGGACAGATATTTATAAGTACATCTCAAACACAAAGCATGCACGAAGGCTTATATAACTGAGCAAAAAGAAAGTAACAGACTAGTCTTAGATCCAGACTCTACATCTCCAGAGGGAGATTCGAACCCTCGTATGCTCAAAATGCGGTTGTAATTGAGCTCAACAGCGCCGAGGCGACTCGCATCGTCCACAGAGGTGTTCAAAGCTTTATTCTGTCAGCGGAGTTTGCGTTGTACGCAGGGCACGAGAGATGTTGAAATTCTAGGGTCGCACTTGGTTGAAACCTCAATACAGCCTGAGATTGAACACAATTACTTGATCTTGGAGTTTGAGCAACCCGGCATCATGGCCGAGGTAAAGCCCGAAGCGCTGAGTCGCAATGAGTCGGAACAGGTAGGTAGCAGAACATAGGTGAACCTGGAAGAACACGGAAGAACATTGTAGATATACACGGAACTTTCTAGTTACATTGGACATTTCAGTATATAAGTAGCTACGAATTGTATGTCTTTCTCAAGTGTTTGCAGAGCTCAGTCAAGCGCTAATATATTTCGGATTCTCACTCTCAAACCTCGTCTGATTCCCTAATTAAACCCAACACTTGATTGATTAACAACCCGGTCACCATAAACCTAAGGATGTATCTATTTTCGGGAGCATCTGGACCC